GGTCACACCTAATCCTTTTAAATAGTGCCACTCCCTAAGCACTTAAAAATATGAAGCTATAGGGACAATTGCCATTCAAACAGAGGTCCTGTTTTCTCATTCTTAGGAGCTGCCTTCTAGTTGTGTAGCTAGCTGGTAAGAAGGTAAGACACTCTTTGGGGTCTTATTAATAGGGTATCAATCCCATCGTTTAGTTATTTCTGAAACACTCTCCCCCATACATTACATGGAAATTAGTTTTCAATATATATGAATTTTCAGAAACACAAATACTCAAGTTATAGCACCCATCTTTAGTTCAATGATCTGCTTGGTTTTGGCTAAATTTGCTGTTAATTCTATCCAGTTAATTTTGATTTTGTGTATTTTACTTGTAGAAGAATTCAACTAAACACTCTATTCAAGGTCCATGTCTTTGCTTCACATTTCCAGCCTTTCACCCCTCTTATCTTCATAGACCTGACACAGTTCTACTGCTGTGGTGTTTGATCAGGGTCATGAGTCGCTGCATTTCTATTAGCTGATGCTTCCTTTAGCTGCTCTCCCTCTGTTTTCAGTTACATTTCCTTGTTGGCTGTGTGTCAAGTAATTCTTTTCATAGTGTGAATATTACAAGGTGACTGATACCTTGCAAAGACATTGGTTTCTTTCAAAGCAACAGCCAAATTACAGGCAGATTCCCTAGATATTTTACCGAAGCTTGGTTGAGGATTAGCTCGGGCAAATCTCTTTTGTTTTTTGCCCATGGTAAAATCTCTTCATTTTGAGTTAGACTTTATACTTCTACACGGTGACATTTTCTGGGACTTGGGGGATTTCTGAGATACTTGCCTGTCACTTCTAATTTGGTGAGAGTCAGATTCTAAGCTCTTCTTTGATGTAAGCCAGCTGGTAAAATCTCTAGGGGTTCCACTCACTTGTTTTCTCCTGTTTCTCAAAGTCTTGCCCTATGTGTGTAAGGAATAGGCAAAGGCTCGAGGAAAGTAAGCATAGATTTGGGGTTCTTTGCCAATGGCTTCCTGTTTTCTGAAATGGCCCGAATTTCTAACTACTCTGTAGATTCTCACCCAGACTTCCCATCAGGACATTTTGACTAGTCTTGAGCTGTGTCTGCTTTGTGTCATTTGGACTGTGGATGCCTTCAGAGCAAAAACCGAGTAACAGTGCAGTGCAGTTCACACAATGCCCTTGGGTTCCTTCCTGATTTTCGTTGTCTTTCTTTTTCTTTTTCTCACTAGTAAGTGTGTGCTTCCCCAGAATTCATCTGTTGTCACTATGAAAGTTTGCCTGATAACAGCAATTCATTACCGGAAAAGAAGACCAGATACTTATTTTTCCCCTCAAATGAAAGAATATATGGGGATAAATTATGCTAAGAAAGCACTCTCTGTTTCTTTTTCTTGGGCTTCTCGACTATTTGTTCCATAAACTGAAACAATGGAATACCAGTCAGGAAATTATACTCAAATCTTTCTGTCTATGAAACTAACCTCAAATAAACAAAGATTTATGTAAAATTTCCATGAACCATTACACTACTGAGCCAAGCTCCTCCATCATGTCCCTGGAAGTGTAAGCAGCTTATCCACTCTGTTTCCCAGGGACTTACACAGCACTTGACAGGGTCCGCTTGGGCATCTTCCATATTGTAGATCACACGGAGCACAGCCCACTGAGCAGAAGGGAGGTGATGAAGAACTCCAGCTTTCAATTCTGGATGCTGAGCAAAGAGGTTAGAACTGGGCAGAATCTGGATCTGAATCCAAACATTTTGATGTTGTTAGAGTTTTTGCTTCTGTCAGTTTTCCCCCCTATTGCTGGGATTGAAAATACTCCAACAAAATCAGTTAAAGAGAGAAAGGTTTATTTTGACCCACAGTTCAAGGTGTAATCCATCGTTGTGGGGAATTCTAGGAAGTAGGAACCTCAAACAGCTGGCCACATTGCATCCACAAAAGGAACAGCAAGTGATGGATGCCTGCTAGTTCAGCTAAGCTCTTCATTTTATAGAGTCCAGCATCCCCTGCTCAGGGAATAGCCCTGGCCACAGGTAAGCTGAATCTTTCTACACCAATTGACCACTTCAAGATAATCCCACAGGCATGCCCAGATGTCCCACTCCCAGGTGAGTCTAGATTCTGCCAATAGGCCATTAACACTAACCATGGGAACATCTACCTGTCTGTCTATCATCTATCTATCTATCTATCTATCTATCTATCTATCTATCTATCTATCACCTACCTACTTATCTCTTGATACAGATGTGGTCTCACTGTCACCTGGAGCTCAAGTGATCCTCATATACCATGCCTACATGCGCATGCTACCACGTTTGTCTGAGTTTCTACTCTTAACACTGACATTTTCTTCTTTATCACTCTTTGTTGCTTGTGCTAATTAGGCTTTCTATGTGTAATGGATAATATTTATGCAATTTTTATGTTTTTACATAGTATTTAACCTACTGGTTTATAAACCATTTCAGAAATAGGAAGCAGATATTTCCTGTTGTGGTAGATACCCAGAAGAGACTCAAGTAAAGCTTTCTTTTATAGGTAATGTTAATTTTTCTCTATGCTATACTTTCACAGTGTGTTTTTTTATTCTAATGGTTTTCTTATTTCTTTTGCCTTTTATTGCTATTAGTATATACTTGATACACCTATTGAATTGTAAGATCATTGAGGATAGAGACCATGCAGTTGTTATTGTTGCTGACATTTTCTCTACCCTGGCATCTAGCCCACAGTGAATATAATTCATAGATGTGACAACCAAGTAGAAACTTAAGTAGACTTAAGGAGCCAACTATGAAAACATATTGGGTTTAGAAGGGTCCTAGGTAGATGTAGCAGTGAAGATGGAGGCTTTTGAGTTGTGAGAAGTAGCAAGGACGCACTGGAGCTGTGGGGGAAGTGGAAAGACAGTGATGCTCGTGTGTGTGGAGGCAGGTCATAATACCTTAGAAGATATGGAAGAATTTGGGGGTTTAGGTCTGATAGAAATCATTGGAGCATTTTGGCTAGAGGAATGCCATATGAATTATATGTAAAGGGTTCAAAATAGATGTGAAGAGAATAGGCCAGATCAGGGGCCAGAATAGAATCAGGGTGGTCAAGATGGCTCAGAAGGTAAAGGTGCTTGTTGCTACAAGCTGGCCAACTTGAGACTGATTTTTTGAACATATATGGCAGAGAGAACCTATTCCCCAAAGCTGCTTTCTGAACTCCACATATATGCTGTGGCAGACCCCTCCCCGAAAGATTAAATAGGATCAGGAAGAATAATTATGGAACTAGTGAGATAATCTGGGTCAGGGGTTGCCTGATTAACTTGGAATGGAGGTCAGATCATAAGTGGTGTGAAGTGTTGAGTCTGGATGTATTTGACATTAAAATGCAGAAAATTTGGGAACAACTTTTACAGGCTCTGCAAATTTCCCACAGTTTTGGATTAAACAGCATTGTAACTATATCCATATATCTATATCATCTATATGTAAATCTATATCCTTATCTCTATTCATCTATAATTTTATCTATCTATATCTCTATATCTGTCTCTCTCTGTGTCTATTATTTTATCTGTGAAGAAACTGATGGCAGATAAGGAATTCTAAGTCTGGAAATAGTGTCTTGGTTGTCTTTCTCCTAGCCTCAGATTGTTTCTAAATAAGTGTCAACTTTTTTTTTTTTTAATGAATCTTATCTGTAGGCTGGTAGCCAGTATTTATCTAAAAGTCTTTTCAGAAGAAGGGCCTGCGCAGGGCTACTTAAAGAGTCTTCGAGAGGTTTTGTTGTGGTTGTTTTGTTTTCCTTTTGTGATTCTACTATGAAAATGCTCAGCGAGCCCTTGTTGTCATTAATGATTTACTAAATTAAATGGAACAGATTCAAGCTCCTTTTCAGTCTTCACATTCTGTAAGGAAATTTTCTCTGTTGTAGTTAAGATAAATTGATAAACACTTCTCTTAGGGTTTTTTTTTTTTTTTCTTTTTTTGCTGTGAAGAGACACCATGACCATGGTAACTCATAAAGAAAACATTTAATTGGGGCAGCTACTTACAATTTCAGAGGTTCGGTCCATTATCCTCATGGCGGGGAGCATGGCAGCATGCATGCAGACATGGTGCTGGAAAGGCAGCTGAGAGCTCTGTATCTTGCAGGCAACAGGAAGTTGACTGAGACACTGGACTGTATCCTGAGCATAGCAAACCTCAAAGCCCACCCCCCACAGTGACACATTTCCTCCAACAAGGCCATGCCCACACAACAAAGGCACACCTCCTAATAGTGAGATTTTAGGGGCCAATTACATTCAGACCACCACACCACTAACTTATAATTTGTCTTTTGGGATGCAGTGGTTAAGGATCTGTGTGTGGACTTTCTGTTGACCCACTATTCTTTGTAGAAGTGTTTGTAATCATTTATATTTTGCAGCCTTAGCTTTCTCAGCTGATTATTTTAAAAGTGAGGTATGATCGTCTGTGCTTAATACACATATCACTGAGCCATTCAAATTTCATGAGGTCCGAATCTGAGTGAAGCCTGTGAAGGGAGTATAGAGCACGCACACTGGAGAGGGTCTGTGGAAAAGTCCTTACGTATATATTGTTCAATATGTGTATAAACACACATCATAAAGATGTGTAAGTGGAGAGAGTTGATCAATGATGCTAAGTAATAGTAAGAGAAAAAGATAAGAAGACCTGTTGCATGGTAGGATGCCTTCAGATAATGATAAACAGTGAAATGAATATATAACAGTTTGTATATTTTAAAAAACTAGAAGGATTTTTGTGTGTTTTCACTATAAAATAATAAATATTTAAAATGATAGACATCTTTAACTTGATTTAAACTTTGAACATGTACATGTTTTGAAATATCCATATCTCATACATATGCATAATCTTTTCTTTCATATGTTAATTAAAATGAATTTAGTGTCTACAAGTCTGTGACTGAAGAGAAATACCCATGTTTATTTTCTAGGTATTGGTTTGCCTTGAGACAGGGTTACCAGGTGGTTTTCAAACCCAGCAGCAGAACGAGTGATTTCTCGGAGGAGCAAACGGACCCTCACAAAGAAGCTATAGACATAGCCACCGACTTGAGCATGCTCAGGCTGTTTGAGGCCTACCTGGAAAGCTGCCCACAGCTCATTCTTCAGCTCTACGCCTTTCTGGAGCGGGGCCAGGCAACTTTAAGTCAGTGTAAGTCTTTCTTAATACCCCTGGCTAGACGTAAGCCGCCGCAATCTTATTATACCTTTATAAGTCTCAGGACTGTTTTTGAATTTTTTAATTACTAATTGAAATGAAATTCAGCAACATCTTTCAAATATTTAAAACTGTGTGAAGGTATAATCTCTATTTGTGTTCCTGCTGTTCCTTCCCTTGTCTGCCTAGAGGGAAACTTCTGCTGTTGGTCACTAGATCGTCCTTCAGAGAGCCTGGAAAAGTGTACACTATCTTTTCTTTTCTTTTCTTTTCTTTTCTTTTCTTTTCTTTTCTTTTCTTTTCTTTTCTTTTTCCCCTTAAGACAAAGAAGACAGCATTTGGCCTTTTGTTTTGTTTTCACCTGCACATCCTGCAGTGATGTCCAGATTAATTACAGGGAGGGTTCCCTCCTTCTCCTTACCACATGCACCATGCCACAAATAGCAGATAAACCACAGCCTACCAGCACCTCTGTCATTTATGCTAATTTAGGTTGTCTGGAAACACCTGAATATTAAATGATGCCACAAGTAAACTTTTGCATCTTTATGGTGTGATTATGTCCTTATGTTTATTGCTTTTTCTTTTGCTCTTTTCTAAAATTTAAAATAGTTTTCATACAGTATGTCCTGAATACCGTTTTCCCTCTCTCTACCATTCCCAGTTTACCTCTCCTATCTAGATCCACCCTCTTTCTGTCTCCCCGCCTAGAAAACATACGAGCATCTAAGGGATAATAATAAAATAAAATATAATAAGATAAAAAACCAAACAAATGGGCTGGAGAGATGGCTCAGTGGTTAAGAGCACTGCCTGCTCTTCCAGAGGTCCGGAGTTCAATTCCCAGCAACCACATGGTGGCTCACAACCATCTGTAATGGGGTCTGGTGCCCTCTTCTGGCCTGCAGGCATACACACAGACAGAATATTGTATACATAATAAATAAATAAATAAATATTTTTTTAAAAAAAACAAACAAATCAGAATAGGACAAAATAAACAAATAGAGAGGAAAGAGTCCAAGAAAGGGTACAAGAAGCAGATATAGACACAGAAACCCACCAGTTTGCATGTTCAGTAATTCCATTAAAACACAAAACCAGAAGCCATAATATATGTACAAAAGACCTGTAACGTGATAGATAGACAGATAGATAGATAAGAAGTTAAACATAAAAAAGAAAGAAAAAGTCCTGACCTGGCGATATGAGACAAAGACCCTCCAAAGATGCCATTGAACCCATTTTCTGTTGGCATCTGCTGCTGGGCATACAGCCTACGCTTAAGAGTAGTTTGTGTCCCCAGAGAGACTCCCCCGGAGAAAACTAAATTTTCATTTGCAAGGGGTTATCAAATGGAGATAGTTTCTTGGTAGGAATGGATGAGCATGTTCACTTCTTATCTATTGCTTTTTTTTTCTTAAGGAAAAAATTTAAAGAGTTTATTAAAAATAAAAGCTGTGTAGTGGTGATGCATGCCTTTAATCCCAGCACTTGTGAGGCAGAGGCAGGTGGATCTCTGTGAGTTAAATGCCAGCCTGGCCTACAGAGCGAGTTCCAGGACAGCCAGAGATACACAGAGAAATACTGTTCCAAAAACAAAAACAAAACATAAAAAGGAATAAATGGAGAGAGAGAGAGAGAGAGAGAGAGAGAGAGAGAGAGAGAGAGAGAGAGAG